CATGCTGTGGGGTGCAGTTCTTGGCTTTGTCTTTAGCCTAACCTCACAGGGTGCTCTTTATAGGAAGTGAAGGAAAAGACTTGTTTTGTCTGTGTGTGCATGGATATTTATAGACCTGCAAGAAACTTAGTTCTTCTGTTATGAACACTCTTTTTTGTACAACTTATTTTAAAGTAAATTGCTCAGTTTTAGGTTCATCCCATAAGCTTTGAGAATGCACCATGTATAGAGCATAAGGTATAGAGCTCTCATCGAAAGACAACACCGTTGCAGGATAATTTGCAGAGTGTTGCTGTATACTGGAAAAAATAAAGCAGTTCATGTTGTATCTTGGTCTCCCTTCCCAATACAAAACCCAACACACTGCAACCAAGAGTCCCGATGAGTCACTGTCCAGTAATTAATCTATGGTATGCCAAAAACATTCAAAGCCACAGAATATAATTACTCAGGAGAATAAAGTATTGGCTGGAAATTGAAGTTTAAAATGCTCTAGCTCTTGTTTCTCCTGTGTATGCTGCTTAAAAAATATTTCTAAGTGGAAAATGGAAATTTGCTATCTCTTGGGTAAGAGGGAGAAGAATTGACAATTCCTCTGTGAAATAAAATGGCTGTTCAGCAATAAAGCCAGGGACAACCATAAAAAAGCAAAGCGAAGTGAAGTGCCTCTAGAAAATAATGACTTCATTAAGGGAAGAGCAACATCTTATACTTACTTATTTATTAGGAATCTCTTTGAATAGAGAACAGTGTCAACTGGCTAGTTTTATCTCATTAAAAGCTTCCGTAGTGACTTCTTTTTAATACAGTGGACCTGAAAACTCTTTCAACTATTAATGCTCAAAGCAAGATGATCTGCCAGATTTTCATTTTTATTCTACAACTCACTTGGACTTATTTCACGGCCTGCCAGGTAAAAGCTGTCCACTTTGTCTCATTCCCATTGCTAATCTTTAAATCAAGGAGGACCCTCAGAGCATCTAAATTATGCCCTATATGAGAGGTAATCTTTTCTGTCTGTGTGCAAGACCAGAGTTGCAGTGCAAATGCTCTTATGAGAACTTGGGGACTCTGTAAAGGTCCGAATCTGATTGGAAATGTAGGTCTACCCTTAAGAACATAGCCTCTGTCTCCTTTCTTATCTGGGAGAAAAGCATCCTCTTTCAAGGTTTTCTGGCTTCTGGACATTCCATCTGTGTAGATGCTGTGACTGAGATGAGCAGTATGTGGTTCAGAGCCACCAGGAGCCAAAGGGACTTTCCCTCAGCAGAGTTTCAGCTGGATGCCTCTGTGTAACATGACTCCCATGCTCATCACTGAGCCTGGTATCATTTGGTTCTTGTGGTAATTTCTAAAAGGGGCAGCTCCATGTCTACTCCTTTTTCCAGCAAACTAGTAACAATAGTGAGCAGTAATATTATGATCTGTTTCACCAGTGGGTGTCCAGAGAGCATTAGAACAAATTGCATTTTACCTAACAGTTGGCTGTGGTTTTCATTGAGTATAATCATTATTTCTGTAGCTTCTCTTCAGCAGTATTTCTGGCACCATACCTGTACATACTCTTGTAGACAAGGGGAAATGAATCTTTGCTTGTTTGCAAGCTCCTAGAAAAGTTTCTCTGATCTCATGCTGGATGCTGTCACGGTCAACTTTGTCCACGTGGTGGTGTTGCATTCTCTTACGTGTGGTGACCTTGCATTCTCTTACCAAGTGCAGTTATCCACTACAGGTGTATTGCTTTCCAAATTTAGGGCATTTTCTTGGCCCACACTTCTTGCCAGAGCATGTACAATCCCATGTGATTTTGCATATATTTTTTGAGCTCCAAAATGGACCTAGACCTTTCTGGCCTTTTTTTTTTTTTATTTTTTTATTTTTTTTTTTTTTTTAATGGATTTTGTTATAAAAGATAATTCTAATTTACAACAGAAGAACATTATCAGACCTCTCACCATATGTCTTGGGGCACAGTTTCCTGATATGCCAGCCTTAGTAATCAAGGTGATATGGAGTTTTGCTATGTGAACCTATGGATGTTCTGTTAGAGAAGGGAGTTATTCTTACCTTGATCACATCAATAATCCAGTTCTAGTACATAGAACTTCTTCTGCTTAGAATGTTTTAAATATACTTTGCCTATAAAACCATATCTTGGTCAGAAATAGCTCAGAGCCCAAGACTTTGAAGCCAGTCTACTATATCCTTTTCTGAACTTAAGCTTCTGTGCATAATTCTTCATCCCAGCACAACTACTTCCAACTAGCTTCCATCAGATATGCTTAAAGGTACAGTTCAGTGAAGATGTGGCCAAATTTGGGGAGCAGAAACTTCTCATGACAGCTTTGTCCTTTAAGCCAGTAATTCAGGAAATTGTGTCTTCTGTCTAGATTGGGCAATTTCTACTGTTTAGCCAAACTCACTGCTTTGTTAAACAGTGGTTCACTTTCAGGAGTCCCTTATTCTGAACTTCTGAACTCAACCTGCTTCTTGTCAGTCCAAAGGGGACTTAGATTAGGGATCCAGTTTGCACCTGCAACTCAAAAGTAGCTCTCCAAGCATGGATTGTTCAGCACAGGCTCTTCTGGATTTTTACAATCATTCTGTCTTGCCCAGATGAATGAAAATGTCAGGTTTTTTTTTTCTTCTTATATATATATATATACACAGTTGACCCCCTTCTGTAGTATTTCAGACACTTGTTTTTCTGTTTCCATTGTTGCAGACATGACTTGGAAATTTTATGAAATTCTGGTGTCTTCCCCAGTCTGCACTCAGTGATGCTGTTCTTCCATCAGTTTAACTAGTTTTGCCTCATACCATGTCCTGCTTACAGATATGTGACTATGCTTTGTGTTCTATTTTTTTTTCTGTCTAAATGCTCAGTTCTTCACAGCAACCTGTTCCAGCTAGTTGCTCCAAGAAGCACTTCAAGATACTGTTCCCTGCAAATAGCAAAAAGTAATTTTTCTGATACTGACAAAACCTTCATAATAAATTACTGTCTTGACTATCACCTCTTGTTGTGAAATTTGAGAAATACCTCCTCAGCATTCTTTCCCAGCCAAAGATGGAAGTGAGTGACATTTAGTCATTGGCTGCTGATACTTAAATTCATGAAGGGTAATGGGGTGGGGTGCTTTTTTCATGAGCTGTAAAAATGTCACCTGGCTCTACCCTCGATGATGTCTGTTGGCCCAGGGACTCTTTGCAGAAATAATCTTTAATAAAGATAGTTGGTTGCTCTAAGCCATTGGCATTGCTCAATACTTTAAAGTAAACCAGAAAGAAATATCAGCTCTTGCTTCAGAATTTGTTTCTGTGGTGTTATTTGAACACTGTAGAAATATTGCCCTGGGAGTGGTCTCTACTATTCAGAACAAAGGAGAAGGAAATGTTAGACTTTCCTGTAAGTACTCTGTGAATCTTTCTGTGACAGACTTCCTCTGGTAACAGAGCTGAACAGACTAAACTTTTTGGAGACATCTGCTAACCTAAAAAAGCTTAAGCTGTCAGGTCTGGTTCAGCCCTTGACTTGGCTTTCCATTTCTCTACTTAGCAATTACCTCTCAAGGCAATTAAGAGTGCATAAAAATAAAAGCTGCAAGGCAAATAGGAGAAGAGACTTATTCCTGTTTCTTGTTCTTTTTTGTTGTTGTTGTTGTTTGCCTAATTCCCTGTAGGAATTAGCTCCTATATTTAGAAAGAAATAAGAATAAGGGACTGAGAAAACTCTCCCATCTCTCCCCGTCTCTTCCCACTGGGATCAGACTGGAATTTGTGCTGTGGCCTGGACTCAGTCCATGTTAATGAAGTAAAGCCTCTTGGCATACCAAGAGAGCTTGCAAAAAGAGGAACATCATAGGGTGAAAAAAAACATACCATCTCATATTTGTTCCTTTTTTTTCTTTTTCATTTTTTGGAGGTATGCTTGTGAGAGCTTTGTGTGAACACTGCTGAGCATTGTTATTATCTTTCTCTCTATGAGAAGGAACTCGACAGAAGATGTGCAATGCAATGTGGCTGCCGGAGTAAATTCTTCTTGGTGGGAGCAGCTGGCAGAGGCCATAGATCAAGCCCCTGCAGTCCTGGGCTGCACGCTCCCTGTCCCAGCACTGATGAGCAGCTCTCTGCTGATCTGCACTGAATTATGTGAATACCTTGTTGCCATTTCTCCTCCTCTTGAGGTTCATTGCTTCTTCCTGCTGCCTACCCCTTGCCCTCACTCAGTGTGAACATCAGGTACCCCCAGTTGGAGGAAGTACACCCAACCCAGCTGAGTACCTGGCTCCTACAGGAATGCAGGTATAAGGTGGATCTGCATTTCATTTCTTTCTGCCCACTCATGTTCTGCCTGCATTTTCATGGAAATAGAAAGCGCCTGGAGGCTTGCTGAAGTTTTAGGTCTGAATGAAAGCACTGGAGACTTGAGACTTCAAAAGGATTTTCTGTATCTTAAATATACAACCTATTGTTATGATTTTGCTGCTGTTGTTCTTTGCTGAAATTAAGCTGCAAGACAAAACTAGGTCTTGTGGGTGAAATTTTGTTAGTGCTGCATTCTCTCAGCTAGCTTGTAGCCCATTCATCATTCCTGACTCTCTTAAGTCATTTGTATGGCTGTCACATTGATGCAGTCTTTTTCTTTTGGATTGTATCTTCATTTAATAGCTGAAAGAGCTTTGTCTCTGTCAGAAAAGTTTGAACTGAAGTAAATATTTCTGAGCTCTCTCTGGAGCTTTCTCTAAATACACAGGCTTTATTAAGAGCTACTGATTTGGCTAGAGACCGTGGGACCTTCCCCATGCAAGTGCCATAGTTTAATTCCCTAGACCCATCCCGGGTCTCTTGCCAGCGTTTGTTTGCACTGAGGAGAAATTACAAATTGATCAGTTGTCTTACTTCTGCATGCTATATTTTTTTCTGTCCCCAGAGGCAGTCAGTGCCTATGGTTCTGTTGTACAACAGTCAATAAGCAGATCATCCTCCCCATCCCCTCCCCAACAGAGCTTCTGTGATTCAGACATGAGCAGGAGCACTGTGGCAGAGAGACTGGGAAAAGTGGGGATCTTCTGGGTGAGTTCTTGAAAGTCTGTTATCCCATACACTTATGTAGTAACACCAGCATTTCCTAGAGCACCATGCAGCACAAACATTTGCTGGCTAATTTTCTCTCAGACTTGCATAAATGTTTTAGTTTTAGTTTTTAGTTTTATTTTATTTCAGTGTTGCACCGCTACTGATTTCAATGTCGTGAAGAGGCGGGCTCAGACTTGCTGATGTTTGCAGTTGATTGGCAGCTGGTATCCACTCTTTCGTGCTGGGCTGTATGTCTAGACCAAGACATAAACTAGAAAAATTGTTTTTTGTCTCTTTCCTGTTGGTAAAGAAGTGTGAGATAGGCTGATAAGCTTGACAAGTGTCTCTAGGCTAGGCAAGGAGGACTTCAGATTTGTATGTCTTCATATATTAAAATTTTTCATTTGTAATCTTGTGTTTATGACTTGAATGAATGAGCAAAAGCATTTGACTTGCAATTGTTATCCTTAAATAATTATTTAGGGGCAAATAAGTGGCATATCTTATGTAAAGCAAAGAATTTACATTTAGTATAATTGAGAGCTTAATCATTATCATTCCAGATCTAATTATTGCAATGATGATAATGATAGTGATACTAATGATGATAATAGTGATGATGATGATGATGATAATGCAGTTATTATACACCCACTTCTTCATTTCCTATCTATTTTGCTGGTGTTATGCTTGCTTTTTCTCAGTGCCTCTTGTTCCTAAGGTTGGTAGTTTTGTCCTGTTCTTGATGCTATTCCTTCACTGGTAGAAAGAGGTTGTTTATTTCTTTATGTTTTGTTTTTTTTTTTCTTCCTTTAAGGATCACCTGTGGTCAGTTTTGACAGGCTTTTTCAATTTTTGTTCTTTCTTCATTGGTCTGAAAATATGATGTCTGACTTCTTTTACAGTGCCCACTGCAAAATTCTCTGTTCTCTTGTCCCTAAAAGTAAGTATTTGTTTTTGTTTTTTTTTTTCTTATTCAATTGTTTATTTTCTGTGTCCAGCCATTTTTTTTAACTTGGTGAGTTAACACTGATTGATTGCTCATACCTATGGAATACCAGTGCCAGTCCTCTGGCCCACTTCTTGTTCAACCACACCTGCATTCCTTTATAGCATGCACCATGTCTCTACTCTTTCTAGCCTCTCCTATTATGCTAGATCTTTAGTTCTATACACCACAATATTATGCTAGAGTTGTGGATATCTAATTTGACACAAAATATTGGCTTGTTACTGATGTCTGTGCAACATTGTAGGTGTATCATATGAAGAAAGTAAAATGAACCAGCAAAATTGCTCTCACCACTAAACCAAGTGAAACAAAGCTGCAGGCAGGTCAAGAAAATTTTGGGTGGGAAATCTATCAGCGTTTGGTCCTGAGGATTTTAAATAGAACATTCATGGACTGTTATCAGCAATGGCAATCTTATATTATGAGGATACATAATTTCAAAATGCCTGGACTACTCCAATAAAGAAGCCTACAAAATTTTTTTTTTGTTCATCTCCAGGTATGTCACCATTAACACCGCAGACTTGAAGCTAGTTATTTCCTTTCCATGATTCTGGTAAGCAAGTATCCCTATTGCAAAACTGGTTGCCGATGTTATCTTGAAACAACAAAAAAATTCTCAGTCTTTTCAGAAAGACTAATGTTTCTGTTTTCTCTCTTTTCATCTGCTCAGAACAATATTTAAATTTATTACTAGGTTTAGGAAATACTTCTGTTTTTACAAAGTCTGGCCAGTGGCTTTTCTATTTATAGGAATACAGCAAGAAATGGTGCATCAAAGGTCTTAGATCTGCTCTTAAATAAGTGACAGTCTTTAATGTCCGTGTAGTTCTCTGCTTATTTCCCACTGAATCCTGCAGCATCTTTTTTCTTAGCCAACAATTTTGATACAACCTAGCTAAGAAGCCAATTTTGTTTTGTGGGTAGACAGTGAAAATTCATCCTTCTTTCCTTCTCACTAAATTAAAACTATTTGAACTTTTAGATCAATTTCTAGAACAGGAATAAATGTTTGTGAAGTGGCAGGAATGATTTATGGAAGTCTATCCCTACAGTTGGACTATTCATGCTTGAATATATGTAGGAGTGGGCCTGCTGTGTCTATGTTCTGTCAACCAAGAGCCTTCAAGAATTCTCCACAATGTTTGTAAATGCATAACACTTTTTTTTCCTCATAATAAATTAACAGAACAGTACCCATTTGTATTTCTTGGTCATTTGCTCGTTAATTGCTAAGTGTACCTGCAATGTGCTATATGGATTTTTTACACTATTCTTTGGGCAACTCTGCACCATTGCTTGTCAGAGACTCTTTATGATACTGATAACTGCTTCAACAGGACTCAGCAAGTTATACTCCATGTATATGTGGCATGACTGAGAGGAACTGATGTACAGAAGTAATAATGAACTACAAAATAATATCTTAATCTCATAAACCAGGTGTATGCTCTAAGGGAGCTTTCAAACTGTTCATCACTGTAAGTTCAAAGACTCAATTTGTGCTTCTCAGCTTATTTCATCAGACCCTATTAGATGGTGGAAGGGGAAAATAAAAAGCTGACATGAAAGTAGCTTCAAATTGTATCTGTCACATTAAAGAGATTCTGTCAAAATAGAGATAAAATAGCATTCATCAGGAGACATGCTGGATTTATCCAGATAAGGATAGCTTTCCTCTGCTTGTAGACAGGATGCTCGCACAGAGGCAGTGAGAATTAAGTAAACAGAATTCTTCAAGACTGGATCTCAGATTAGAACAGCTAGAGATATTTCTTTGTTGTATGTTAAGCTAAACAAACTGGGATTTTGAAGCTCAGTACACAGGATTTCTCATTTTTTAAAAATTTCTTTTAAAAAAGATTTTGGTACACAAACAGAACCCTTACTGTAAGGATCATTGGGGTTTTTGAAGTGCAACTGTATTTAACTTCATTTTTTTGTCCTCTGAGATACTTCCTATGCTGTTGTGTGGTAGATACTAAATTAGCCCTGCAAAAAAAAAAATCTTTCATGCATCTTCTGAATGTTAAAAGGAGCCCCTTTTATGCTTCTTTCTGTTACACTTTCCTGACACTATTGGATGGAACTAGTTACGCAAAAAAAAAGTATTTTAAAGTTTTTTCCCTTTTTGTCTGTCTCTAGACAAATTATCTGATTCTCTAACGTACAGAAGCAAGACCCGCTAATAAGAAAGTCCATACAGCATTTCTTTGCTTCATCAAAATATCCTGCTGGACCAAGCTAATTTATGTAACTTACAATCAGCTGCAGTTTTTGCAACAAGAAGGGATTTTTTTTTATTCTTAGCAGGGTACTGCTAAGAACACTTAAACTGATTGTTTAAGTATGAAATGCTAAGAATCCACATTTTAAGTTATAGTAGGATTGCTGTCTTCAAAATCTTTCAGCTCTAAAGACTCCCCATTGGCTTTCTTGGGAATTGAACCATGTTTCCAGTATGCTGATTTGCACAGAGGAAAGATAGAATCTTTGGAGTGTTTAACAGAATTGACTTTCAAAAATGTATATAAGCATTAGGTTTGTATCACTAAACTTCTTATTACCTGAATCAGAAATGTAAAACCAACAGCAAATAGGAGTACTGATATTTTTACCTGATTCTTGGGGGAAATTGAGAAAAAAATTAGCTTTCACTGTGTTGATTACAAGTTGTCCTATACTTGCACACAGGTCACTGTGAACCATCTAACTGCATCTTAAAACCTGGCTCAGAGCTGAACAAAACTGGCTTTGCCAAGAAGCCTGATAGTCATCTGTGAGTACTGAGAGGACTCAAAAATCAGAGCTGTCTTTGCTCTTTTTGCCTCCCTTGCAGCATGTCTTTTGGCAGTGACTCATGGGCAGCCTGGTATGGCTGCTGTCTTTGGACAGGACTGCTCCCTGCTGCAGTTCCCCCAGAGACAGCAGTCAGACAATATGTTAATTACTTAGCACAATCTATGACTTCATTTTTTTTCAACAAAGTAAAGTTTTTGAAGCAGGGTCAGGCTCATTTTTCTTCTCAGCATTTACCTCTGGCTCATCTGGCTCTTGGGCTGGACCCAAGTTCCATCTCACTCCGTGTGGCAGTCAGTTGCTCAGTTCAGTCTTTGTGACTAAGATAATAAATGCTGTCACACAGGCAGTCTTAAACTGAATTTGTCTCTGTTACTTGCATGTCCAATTAATTTAAAAAGTGTTTTAAGATTTATATTCCTATCACACTGGTGCCAGGATTACATTAAATTTTAAGACTGCCTGATGCTGAACTTCTCTGGGTGCTGGGCAAAAGGCAAACTTTATATCTGTCTAGTCCTTTTAAGGACACACTGCATAACTCTATAACAGAAATTATGCAAATCACAAGGATAATGAACTAAGTGTTATTTAGGAGATTCTTCTTTTTGCCTTGCTCCAACAGCTCTTATAGTTGGGAGTTTACTGGATTACTTAGGGAGGAAGAAAGCAGTACCTCAGGTGTATCTTTTGCAGAACCTGTAACAGCAGGATATGTTCCACACATCTTGGCACTCTGAGTTCTTAAAGTCAGGGAGACTACAAGTTGAGTGTTGACAGATTCAAAATTTCCCTCTCAAACTCTTCGGTAGGAAATTACATCTCAATTCTTATTAAGGATTCTCTATAGTAATGACTGACATATAACCTAACAGGCAAATGGTAGTTACATATATAATAAAAAGTGATAAGAATTATCAATTTGACAACAACAAAAATTATTTTTGTGACGTGTCTGTAAAGAAAAGTTTGTGACTGCAGGGTCAAAGTCCAGTCATATTACACCTGGAAATGTTTGAGATTTGCCTGTGTGTCTCTGAGTCACAGCAGAAGTGTATCAGTCTCGAAATAAAATCTACCATACATCACTGATAATTTGCAAAGTGTCTACTAGTGGAGAAGCAGGACAGGACTACATAAGAGGTATGATATGGATTAATGGTGAGGCAGCAAAGTAGCTGTCGGTAGATAATGAGTATTTGAAAGACTACAGAGTCAGTAACACTGCAAAATCCTAACTTTATTTTGGGTTCTTATGGCAGAAAGATTTGGAAATGATAATGCTTCTGTATTTCAAGAGTGGCAATACTATGTCAGGCAATACTATGTATGATGGTTCTGCTAGAAGAAAGCTGCTGCAAAGCATTTCAGCACTGAGCACTGGGCATGTAAAAGATGACTCTTACAGTCTATGCAGCTTGTTTTTTTCACTGTATTTCTAGAAATTGCGCAGTCAGCTGATTGGACTGGGAGAAATAGATGCTTTTAAATTCAAGGAAATGCTTCCTAAAGCAGACCAAGATCCTAATGGCATTCACTGACAACATTATGATTTTGTTATGAAAGAAAGAACCACTGTAAACTTGTTTGGTATCAATGTGAATGTCATGTGTTTCCTCAGGAGATCCATTGAAATTCAGCTGTAATTACTCCACCTTTGCAGCAAAGTGTCAATGAAAGGTCCTATTCCAAACAATTAAGTAATTACCATTTTCTAACCTGCTCATCTATAATGCCGTTCTTAGGAAAAAAAGAAAAACAACCAAAAAACCCCATGCTATCTCTTTACTTCCTGTTACTTCCGTCAAATTATCAACTCAGCCTTTAAAAATTAGCTTTTTTTCTTTACGTGACAAAGGTTGCGTGTGGAAGGAGGTCATTGAATTTAGCACGCTAATAATTGAGCTTGCAAGTTTTGCTGCTGCAGATCACTTGTAGCCTTAATATAAACTACTTTTCACTTACGTAAGAGAAAGCTTATGCAGTTTAAACCTCTGAAGTGGCAGAATGCTTTCTGTGAATTTTTGTGCACTATTCTTCTGCAAGAACTTGCTTTTGTATGTTTTTCTCTTTCTTTAGCTTTCTATAATCCTTTACATAAATCTTATGTGACAATAACTTATTTTAAATTTTATCCATCTCGTAGGTGATTAGTTCTGCTTCTTCATTCAGAAAGGATGTGCATTAAAAAACAGCAAACAGCTGTTTTTCATTCTAGAGCAGGAAGCCTTGGAAGAGATGGTACAAACCTAATAAATACCATTTTATTTTTTGTTTTGAGGATGGGGCTTCTTTACATGTTGTAGGAAATGTGCAATTCCTTACTTGACACGCAGAGTTGTTGCTTACTGGAGAATGTTACATAGAAATAATAAGCAATCCCTACCATTAGCAACGTTATGTATTGTTGTGATGAAGCAGGATGAAGTTGCTGGTAATAGCACAGCTTCTGAACGCACCAAACTGAAACAGAAGGTACTGGCCCTGAGAGAACACTGTTCAGAACAAGAAAAGTGGATCAACTGCAAAACTGTTGATGGAGAGGTAACCACAGTTCTTGAACTATTTATCCATTGAAGCATTTCTTTGGTTTCTTAGCCCTTGATTATTTTAAATGACTAACAGACCTAATCTGTAGGGTAGATCACTGGACTGTGATATTTTATAAAGTATCTTGGCATACCTCATAATTTATCCAATTTATGTTATTTAAACAGAAATAGATGCACTTCTTGTGGAGAAAAGAATCTCCTCTATGAGTACATCCACACGCTCACCATTCTCCTCTAGGATATTTTCATATGGACCATTTCTAATTTTATTATAGCACAGCCAGGATGTGCAAGTGAAGACCAGAGATCAAAAGATCTCTGCAGGATCAAAAGATCCTGCAGCTCTTACTCTGCCTCCAGAAGTGTTAAACAACACCTTTCTGCTTTTGACCCTATGTTGGCAATTATGATCATGCAGCTAGATACCTGAACCACATGCAGTAAGGACCTTGCATCCACAGGAATGTCTAGTGGGGTATGTACTGACCGAAACATGTAAGTGTTCACCTGAGCAATCAGTATACTAGGATTTGCTGTCAGAATAAGATCTGTACTTACAAGACACCTTACTCACTGACAGTTGTGGATGACAGATGCATTTTCCATAGAGTAGAAATGTGTTTGCAAAGATAGGCTAATGTGGTGTCAATATATTGATGTTTTGAATATATTTCTGAATGTATTGTTTTATTCAGAACAGAGGAATAGACTCTTTCTACAGAGTCCTTCACTAAGCATCAAAACTAATCTGAGACTTAGACAAACGTCTTAGATTTAAGGGTATCAACTTTACTCTTCAGTGTAGATAAACTCTTCTAGATATTTCAAATAGATTTACTATTGAAAATAAATGAATTTCTCCAGCAGACAAATACAGCTTCCTGTATTTGCCTCTGAGTATCCAGATAGTTAATTTTATTGCAAGAGAGGCATAAAATATTTTCCCTCTTCTAGCCCTCTCTCCCTCCTCTTGCTTTTCTTTGTGTATTATAAATGCAGTTCTTCCACTTCTGCTTCGGTCCTGCTCAGCTTTACTGCTACAAAGACTGAAGCTTGGCACAGTTACTCCAGATAACTTTTTAGGCTGGAATGAGTGCACTCAATTCTCACTGCAGGCATCAGAAACCAGAAGGGATTACTGATAGCATTCTGCAGCAGGAGGAAAGGGTCAGAAAGTTGGAAACACTTTAAAGGCCAAAACTGAGTGAGAGAAGGGATGAAAAGCCTTTGGAAACTTCTATACTCCTCAAAGGTAATTAAAGGAAATTTTATAGCATAACATCTTTGAAGTGCCACTTTTTTCTTTCTAGGAGAGGTAAAGTGGGGGATTTTCTGTAATAAATAAATTCTGTAATATCCTTGAAACCTGATGGCTGACATGAGAAGGATCCACATGTCTGAGATACTGAAGATCTAGCTTCAGTGGAGCTCCACTTCTTTTATGGCAATTTCCTTATTATTACACATTACTGACTCCACCTCTTGGCATTTCTTTTTTTTCTTTTTTCATTTTGTATGAAATTGTACCACAGGAATGTTGTTCTGTTTTTCCCAATTTCACTGTCTCACTCACTGAGGTAGAAACATGAGTCCAAGTGGACCGAGTGGATTTGAGCTTTGAGCACAAATACTTCACATCTCAAGAAACAGTTGAAGATTAATTCTGCATTGAAGCAATTGCTTGTGAAAATCATTTGAAAGGATTTTTGTTCTTGTGTGATGAGCTGAAGAAGTTTCCAACCACTGGAGGCACTGTGTCTAGAAAATCCTTCTAAGAGAATGAGTGGACCAGAAAATCTATCTCTTTCTGAGTTCCATCCTTACACAATAACAATTAAATACAACTATGCAGATCACTCCAAAAGAAATGCTTCCTATCATTTTCCATGGAAACTACAACAAAGAGTAGAAGAACACTATTTGATAGAGCAAATAACTCAGCATAAAACAAGGCTTTTTTCAATGTAATCATGACCATTAGCTATGCTTTTTCACCAGTGGCGAACAGAACCCTGTCTTTAAGACAAGAAGAACCAACACAGCACAGAATATATGAAAATGAATAGGTCCATACATTATTAGATAAATAAACACTCTTCACTAAAGACCACAGCTCAACTGTCTAAGTTCTAATAATAAGTCTAAGTCTAATAATTTAGAATATTTTAGAACAAATAGAAGTGTACTGATGTGAACATACTTAATACTTGCTCATTATATTTTAATTGATATGACCTATAACTTTTAAAAACAAAATAATGCCGTTATATTTCCAAAATACATAAGTATGAGTAGTAGTAACTGGTTCAATTACTTCTCTGTCCAATGCACGCAATTGTTAATGTGTCCTAAATTTAAGTGTTTTCCAGCATCTCTCTCAAAAATACATCTTCCTCAATAAAATGTATGTTTGTCAAAAGAATCTCGCAGGTATTAACAAGAAGGACTTTAGACACAGATTTCACTTTAAAAAAAAACACCCTAAATTTGTTAATAATACAAGGCTTGATGAAGGCTGTTTCAGGCCAGCTTGACCACTGTCTCCTGCGAGGACCTGAAAGCTCCTGAAAGGACCATAGAATCTTGTAGCACTAATTATCTCTTTCCTTGTCCCTGCATCACACTCTGTAAAGAAGGGATGAACATGCAAGTAGCAAAATTGGCCAGCTCATCTGCCTTTTCTGTTTCTGAAAGGCCTTATCTAAGTGGTACTTTCTGAGATAAACTGAAGCAACTTGTGATACTGTGAAAGCACCTTTCAAAACTTTATGCTAAGCTAACAGGCACAATATTGAATGATCTGGTATGACATCGATTTAAACAACTCAAATGTCTGTATAAATCTACTATTTTTCATATGCTGTTGATTTTCTCATCATGTCTCCAGAAAGCTTTCTGCTATGTACAATATATTGTTTGGTGAAATTAGAGATTAAGGTGTCTTCATTTACTACTGCAGTAAAACTATTTTGAGCCTGAAAATATAATAAAAAATTTAATATCACATTTCATGTTAAAGCTACTGGTGGAACTTGATCTTTTGTCATTTTCTGAGTAGAGTGATGAAAAGCCTCTCCATGCACCCACAGTTTCAGATGAGAACACCATAGAGAGCAAGACAGAACAAGAGAGAAAGAAGGCTGAATCCTTCATGCAGACATTTCCCAGAAACATTGCTTTTTCTCCTTCCCCGTTTGTAGTTGCCTATTTAGTATCTAGGATTATAAACTCAACAGTACTGGCACAAAGAGATGAGTGAATGTTGGAACAGGAGCCTTCATTTGAGAGTGCTCATGGTTTTTTACTTTAATTAGCACTTTAAAGCATTTTATATAGTATTCAAAACAAAATAGAAAAGCAGCAGTCCTGTTGGGATTCTTCCTGTTGTGAATCTCTATCAGGCTTTCTGTGCGCAGCTGCTTTTAAAAGACACTAAGAACCATGTGGAAAATCATGGAAGAAATGATATGGTGGGCACATTAAAGAAACAGCTGTATCAATCAGAAATTTAAGCTTAATTGTTAAAAGACCTTCTTTCTCTATCTCTCTGTTTATATAATTAACAACCAAATAAACTGTTTCTGTTTTGTGCACACATTTCATGCTGTCAGGAAAGGGCCAGTGAGTTAATGATATTGTGTTCCTCATCTGTTTCTTGATCCAATTTCTCCTGACGAAATTATTCATTCTGCTTGTGATTAAACTGGTGATAAAACTTCCCCTGGGTCCAGTGGGACAGGACAATCTTCAAAGCGTTGTTGTTTATGCCTCACTTGAGGAAGATTATTGAAAGATTTTATCTGCTTCTTTTTCATAAGCAGTGAATTTGAAACATGAAGCATTCTGAAGTTGGACTTCTAAGAAGGTTTAATGGGCATAAATTAGAACAAGAAAGAACAGACCACTTGGTTTTGTGGTCTTTTTTTGCATCTCATATTTTAAGCATATTATTTCCAGAGCCACCTTAGATTAGGAATCAAAGGACTGATGGGATTTATGGTAATCTTCCTTTTCTCCAGAAAAAGAAATTCTCGGGGGTTTTAGTTTTGCTTGGAACTAAATTAAGTCTTTAAACAGCATTACCATTCTCTAAGTTTCTCTAATGCCAGTTCTTTTATATCCTCATATCTGGAAACCCACACCTAAGAAAAATTTTAATTGCTCATCTGACTGTGAGTCAGGTAAGCTCTGTGGCCCAGGCTGTTGAAAGGCCTTATCCTGAAATACTGCATGTGGTATGTTCCTTCTGAAATCAGCTTTCCTTCAGTAGGAGTTGTGGGTTTGGATTTTGGGAGTGAACTGCAAAGAGAGTCAGCAAGTCTATGGTTTGGTGGACAGATCTTCACTGCACAAAGGCTAGAGATGCAGGTTGGCCTGACTGTAGTGCATTGTTAACAGAAACAGGAGATGTTTTTGTAGAAAACCTTAAGATTTAATTGATTTTTTTTGCAGGAGATTCTTATTTTCAACTTGTGAACTTGAAATGCTGTTTACTGATAATGATAAAAATTCCCACTTGTGGAGATCATTTGTCGTTCTCTCCTTTATCTTAGTGACTCAACCACCTCCCTGGGGAACCAATTCCAGTGCTTAATAATCTTTCCTGTAAAGATTTCTGATATCCAAACTAAACTTATCCTGGTGCAACTTGAGGCCATTTCTCCTCATCCTGTCACCTGTTAACAGTGAGAAGAGACAAACCTGGCTTCGCTGTAAGCACCTTTCAGATATTGGAAGAGAGCAACAATGTCTCCCCACAGTCTCCTTTTCTCCAGACTGAACAGCCCCAGTTCCTTCAGTCACTCCAGGCCCTTCACCAGCCACCAGATGTGGCTTCCCATTAGGAGTCCTGTTTCATAACCCACTTTACGATAAACCCAAGTGCAATTGCTAGTCCACACATAGATATCACCTGGTTGAATATAATTCAGACAATAAATTCCCCAAGCAGGATGTTGGATTGGTCATGGACATGTATTCCTAACTTCCCAGGGAGTACTGTGGTCTATTCTGCTGTTGCTTGCCAGCCATTCAGGGCTGATAGGAGTTGAAACCCAGGGCCAGGTTTCAAGTCTCAAGGGTCTTTCATAGACCCAACAGTTATTGTTATAGACATTTGCTACTTGTTCAGCCATTCGATTAAAAGAGTTTTTTATACTATCCCTCTCATCCCCAAAGTCTCCGGGGTGATAATTGATGGTTACAGGGGTTGCAGCCCAAACAATACACCAAAATAACAAGAATGACATTTTGCTCAAATGTAAAAATATAATGCAAAAATGTAAAAATATAATGCAAAAATGTAAAAATAAAATGCAAAGATAATCACCAAAACACAAATGATTAAAGTCAGGCGTTGGCCTTTCTGTGTTCAGTCAAGGTCCCACAAGGGTCTTCTGTAAAATAAAACAAGATATTGACTTGCCCTTTTCTGGGCTTTGGTCATATGGTTAAAATGAGAGAATAATCCATCAAGTCTTGATTTTATATCCCTTTTCCTGGGCATCCTTAACTTCCCAAGCATATTTCTTAAGGAATCAAGGTTAGGTGAACTGGCCCCACATTCGGCAAGTCAACCAACAAAGGCTGGCCAGGGAGATAAGAGTTTACTTAGCTTTTCTGCATCTGGATCGAGAGTAATGGCTAAGAGTGGTAGGGCCTGGGACAGAAGGTGTTAAATCAAAGACAGCCATTAATTCCCCACATTTCCATACTTTTCTTTCATGCTTGGTGAAGGCATCTGTGAACCAGATATTCTGTAACTGGTCTGAGTATGGGGTAGCAGTCTGGATGAGGGGAGAGGATCAGTATTAGTGGCAGAGGGAATATCATCCTGTATAGCAGGTTTCAGAACACCCTCTGTGACTGTAAAGATATTACAATAATGTTCGATTTGAGCATACCACTTTCAGATAGAAACACATTGTGCCACCCTGTCAGGTGGAGGAGTGCCAGACATTGCTGACTTGATAACTTAATAGCCAGGCTATCAACAAACAGGCCCCTCTCCCGCTGAGAATATTGTTTATCTGCATCTTTGAAGCTGCAGGAATAAAATCCAATAGGTCTAATGAGACCGTCTGGACCCTTTTGCCAGAGATGTATAGCCAATCCTGATTAATCCATTCTATTTTAACAGGGCTGGAAAGATGGATGAGATGCAAAGCCTGGTGGGTGGCAGCCTCCAGTATTAGGAACTGCAAGGTCTGCTCATGTATTTGGGTCCACTCTAATGAGGCTCCCTTCCACAGTAAATCATATAACCATTGTGCAATCATAGAGAATTTAGGGATATGCTTTCTCCAGAAAACCAAAAGACAGAGAACATGTTGTAACTCCTTTTTATTCTCTGACCTTTTAAGTTGGCCTAAGCCTGAGAGGGTATCCTGCAGAATGCAGGCCCTATCACTTTTCCACCAAATGCCCCAAAATTTTACCTCACCAGGTGGGGACTGAATTTTGTCTGGTCAGATTCGACTTTTATAAGTGTTTGATTATTTTGTCATGCATTGTTTTTACTGGTGTCAATTGCTCACTTCCTACAAGGATATCATCCGTAGCTCCTGAGGCTAATCCATTAATTCAGCCTTACAGATGGTGAAAAAAAGGCTGTCTGCTCTCCATTAGTAAGTATCAACTGAAGTTCTCCCTTCTGAGAACTAGATGGATGATCTCATTGGATTCTTCTGTGATTAATAATTTTACTGTCATGGGTTGGGAAAGAGTTAATTTTCTTCTCAGAAACTTGTATGTGTTTTGATGTTTTTTGATGGAAACAGTGTTGATAACAGTTTTCATTGTAGCAGAGCAATGCTTATGCAGTCAATTAATTTTCTACTTCTGGTGCTGCCCTGCCAGTTAGGAAGCTGGGTTAGGGATACTGCCTATAAGGAGCTGGGAGGGGATATTGCCAGGACAGCTGACCCAAGGACAGCTGATAAGAGAGACAGTCCACACCATATGGCATCGTATTCCAATAAAAGCTAGGATAAAGAGGGAGAAAAGGGGACATTTGAGGTGACGATTTTGCCTTCCCAAAAAGCCATTATTTGTGATGAGCTTCACTTTTTTTGGAAGGGCTGAACATTTGCTTGCAGATGGAAAGCAGAGAATGAATTCTTTGTTTTTCTTCACTTGCACATGCAGCTTTAACTTTATTTGGTAAACTGTTTTATCTCAGCCTGTGTATTTTTGAACTTTTATCTTTCCAGTTCTCTTCCCCTACCAGCTCAGAAAAATGATTGAGTGGTTGTGCAGTGCTAAGCTGCTTATGGGGTTACACCACAACACTGACTCTTACCTCTCAGCCATGAGCCATTCCAGAGAACACCAAACCTTACAGGAGTAAAATTGTTTCTGCTCCTGAGCCAATTTTAGATGCAAAAGCCACTAACAGTCAAGTAGCTTTTTCCTAAGCTGAGCTATTTGGACAGTATGATACTTCTGTGAAATTTATTTGACACTTTATGTGAATATTACCCGCTGTGACATGTGAGAAATTCACTTCCATGCACACAGAAATTATTGCAATAAAGGGATTTTTTTGAACTTTTTACTTTGATGCTCTTTGAACTGGGAAAGAAAAAAAATACATGAATCAAAAAGTGTTTCAAAGCAACAACTACACAGCTGCAAAGAGTTGGGATCCCTAGCAGGTTGACTAGATGAGTACAACAGAATTATATTATAATAAGCATCTGCACTGATTTCTCCCCCACTTCCTCCTATTGGAATGCCGTCTCCCTAATCTCTGCAGAACAGCGCAGCACTTTTGTGCTTGGATCCCTACCACTTCTTTGTGTACACAGATATGAGTGATGAATATGGGGATGAAAACCATTTGAGCTGATCTGGAAGGAAAATTCTGAATTCTGACCTTAGGCTTCTGTAATACAGTGACAGATTTCATATAAAGATCAAAGATAATAAAAACAAACCAAATACGTTCAACTGATGAATCTGTTTTTACAAGTTTTACAAGGACTGTCTTGAGAGCTATTACTACTGTTGCTCAAATAGCTTCATTTTGCACAATTTAAGGCACTTCATACACTGTTTTCTTAGTAGCATTATATTATTATTATGGTGACTAGCCTTGTGGGCTGTTTCAAACTCTGTCTGAAACTCCAGAACCAACTTAACTCAACAAGGATCAGAACGATCACAAAGATGAATGCAGGCTAAGCAATGAATGGATTGAGAACAGCTCTGCAGAGAAGAACTTAGGTATTCTGGTTGATGAAAATCTTAACACAAACTGGCACTTTCTGCTTACATTGCAGAAAGCCAGCCATATCCTTGGCTTTATCAAAAGAAGTGTGGCCAGCAGGTCAAGGATGTGATTGTCCCTTACTACTGTATTCTCTTATATCCAGTCTGCAGTCCCCATCTGGAATCCAGTTCTGCAGCCCCCAGCATAAGAGAGACATGAAGAGTCCAGATGAATGCCCTTCTCCTACAAAGAAATGCTGAGGAGGGTTGTTTAGCCAAGTGATGAGAAGGATCCAGGGAGACTTTACTGAAGCCTTTCAGTACTTAAAGTGGGCTTATAAGAGAGATGGAGAGAGACTTTTTTACAAGGGCTTGTAGGACAAGGGGCAATGGTTTTAAATTGGAAATGATTTAGATTAGATATAAGGAAGAAACTCTTCACTATGAGAGCAGTGAGGCACTGTAACAGGTTGCCCAGAGAAACTGTGGATCCTCCATCCCTGGAAGTATTCAAGGCCAAGTTAGGTGAGGCTTTGTGCAGCCTGATCTAGTAAGAGATGTTTGACTAGCTCTTTAAAGGTACCTCCTGAACCAAACATTTTTATAATTCTATGACTCTGTGGTTCGATGGTTCTAAATACAATTTAAAATTCTGAACCTAAAATTGTGGGCTGATTTTTTGCAGATTAGCAATCTGCAGACAGCTAAGCTCTACACAGTCTCCTACAAACGCACAATAGGATGAGGGAGAGAATCAGAAAGGCAAAAGTGATAAAACTCTCAGGACATAAGGACAATTTAATAAGTGCAAGGAGAAAAAATACCCAAGTGGTGCAAGAGCAATCACTCACCATTTTCGAAGTTACCCTGCAAAACTGTTCCCTTTGCCCATCAGTTTAAATTCTTGCACACTGCTAGCCTACTTAGTGGGGTGGGAAAAAAGCAAGAAACAGAGAAATTGTTGTGCAGGCACTGTTCAGCAATAGATAAAACACTAGTGTATTACCAATACTGTTTTGGTCAGAAAGCCAAGATATACACACTATATGAGCTTTTTTAAAGAAAACTAACTCCATCTCAGCCAGATCCTGTACATAATTAAAATATAAAATTATTTCCACCTGTTTGCTCAACTAAAATATTTTTTACCATATCAATTTTGAATATTAATGATATGAAACATTTTCCATTGTTCTGTTGTTTATAGGACATAGAATTCAATTCAATGAAGAGTTGTCGGTGCAATTACCATGAGTAATCTGCAAAAAATCTCATCAAGGACATAAGGTTGTATATTACAGCAAGGATATTAAATGAACTACCTTATTCTACATGGCAGCCAGTGCTAAGCGATTTGTTTTCAGAAGAGCAGTTCATTTCTCCTCCTGGTTTCTTTTCATGCTGCTTTAGAGAACTTTCTTGCTGGGACATATGTACATCTTCAAAGCAGTCTCAGTCCCACTTTCAACAAAGAAATATATGCCACACTGCTTAAAAACATTGAATCCCTAGAAATCTCCCACTGAAACCTGTGAGATTTTGGTCTTTGGAAGCTTATTAAGCAAACTTTAAAAGTCTTCAGAAGTGAATTGGAGTTACATTACATTTCAGTGGGATTTGAACTTCCAAGGCCACAAATTACTTCAAAAATAGAACTGTAGGTCTTTTGAAAATGCTGTCCTGGGTTCACTGAAATGTAATTGATCTGATCTAGTTGAACTGTATCACTGTTTGAGGTTCTTATCACTGGGATTGGTATTCCAACTCTCATTAATAAATAGATTTTTTTTTTAAGTGTTGCAAAAACTCTTGGTTGCTTAATCAAGTAGGTCAGTGACTACTTGAGAATTTTGTAAAGGACTGAGGCTCATAACTTCCATTTAGTACCTAAGCTATCTAAGGAGACACTATCAAAAAGTGAATTAGAGGCTGTATCCATAGGTAGTCAAATAGTTGTAAGTACGCTTATACGATCTGATGTACAATGTACATAGTTTACTTGCTCTGTTTATAAAAATGGATACCGATGTGTTCTTTTCCGATGTGTGTTCCTGCTGCACTTCTGCTTTTGGAGACAGTAGTTAAAAAATAAAGAATTGCCTCTGAATTGCCAATATTGCAAATGTGGTACTAATTTTTGTAGTCCTTGTTGTATTATCAGTAATTTTGAAAAAAAAAAATATCCTGAAATAATGTAGATATGGATCTTTCTTACTATTGTCTTTCATTTCTGTCAACAGTATACAGTATCAATCAATAAATGAAGAAAAGCTAAGGATGTACAATATTCCATGGGGCATAGGGATATTTTCTTGGTTTAGAAATTAAAAACACCATGTCCTGTGCACCAGAAGATCTGCACTAGTACACTGCACAGAGCTCCACACATAGGAACACAGAAGTTATGTACCTTAAAAGAACCAATGTTTTACACTGTACCACTCATATAGAGACAACGTGAGGTTTTAATGGGATTGGACTCTGGAAAAAGTAGTTTTTCGCCTTCTCCAGGGGTTGGTTAAGGCTTTTATTTTTCTCCACTGTGTGGCCTTGGCTTATGTTATGATAAAATTGGCAACAGAGAAACTAATGTGGTACGTGAATTTGGCACTGCAGTCATCTCTGGATTTTGGAAACCATATCGCTAGTGCTATTAGTAATTATACACTTTGCTTTGCTTCCCTTTCTCTTTTAAATTTATGTCTTTCCATAGGCTAGTTATAATAGCTCTTGAGAATTTTGAATATCCTTGTCATATTCATGCTCCTATTGCTATGTGATATGAATGTGTTTCAGGTTATGTTTAAGATTACAAAATTATATCAGAATGGTACCCAGAGATCTGCCCCAAGGTGGGATAATTATGAGTGGCAGGGAGTGTGGGATGGAATGGGCAAGTGCCTAAAGCAGTGGGCACCCCCAGTGATTTGGCCTTTACTTCTGAACTACTGAAAGTCCTGAAAAACTTGTATAACATTTGGAAAAAGTCTGCTGTTGCCTTGGTAATCCTGAAATGATGTAAATCATTGCAGCATGCTGGTGCCTAGCCTATTCCTACTAAGCTATATTCTACACTCCTCAAGGGAAGGAAAATGCTTCTGAAATTAGAAAAGCTAGAAAGCTGGGCCTGGGTGAACTTGATGAGGCTCAACACGGCAAAGTGCAAAGTTTTGAACTTGGGCCAGAGGAATCCCATACAGACTGCAAGGAGCAGTTCTTGAGAGCAGCCTTGCAGAGAAGGACCTGGCAGTCTTGATAGATGAAAAGCTTAACGTGAGCCAGCAAGGCACCCTTGCGGCTTGGAAAGCAAATGGTATCCTGGGCTCCATCACAAGAGGGGTGCCCAGCAGGGACAGGGACATGATTTTCCCCCTCTACTCTGCTCTTGTGAGGCCCCATCTGAACTACTATGTCCAGGTCTGGAGCCCCCAGTACAAGAAAGACCAGGAGGATAGGGAGCTGTTGGAGAGGGTCCAGAGGAAAGCCACGAAGATGATCAGGGGACTGGAGCACCTCCCTTATGAAGACAGGCTGAGGGAGCTGGGCTTGTTCAGCCTGGAGAAAAGAAGGCTGCGGGGTGACCTCATTGCAGTCTTTCAGAACCCAAAAGGAGCCTACAAACAGGAGGGGAATCAACTCTTTGAAAGGGTAGATAACAGCAGGACAAGGGGAAATGGTTTTAAGTTGAGGGAGGGAAGACTTGAGTTAGACATCAGCGGGAGGTTCTTTACAGAGAGAGTGATGAGGTGCTGGAACAGACTGCCCAGAGAGGTTGTGGATGCCCCGTCCCTGGAGGTGTTCAAGGCCAGGTTGGATGGGGCTCTGGGCAGCCATGGTATTAAATGTGGAAGTTGGTGGCCCTGCCTGTGGCAGGGAGGTTGGAGATTCATGATCCTTGAGGTCCCTTCCAACCCCGGCCAGTCTGTGATTCTGTGAATCTGATACAATGTAATAGACTCTCCAAATCCTGTGACTGACCTTGTAGTTCCTGCAACAGATCCTGCAGTTGCTCCAACCGCTACAACGGGTCCTGTAGCTGCTCCAAGCATTGCAGCCAGAAAAAGAGAAAACTCTCAGGGCAGGTGCACTGTGCCTAGAGATTGCTACCTATCATTGCTCCAACCCCTGCAATGAGCCCTGCATCTGTTCCAACCCTTGTGATAGATCCTGCAACTGTCCCAGTCCCTGCAATGAGCCCTGGAGTTGCTCTGACCTTTGTGACAGTCCTGTAGTTGATCTAACCCTAATGAAGGGCCCTGCAGGTGCGATCATCTTCATAACCAGTCCTTCGCCCACTCCAATTCCTTTGACAAGCCTCACAGTCCAACCAGAAAACCAACCAGTACCAGTGTCAACTGACCCTATAAAACAAGATGAAAAACATGTCTACAAAAGTCAGAATGTAAGTTCTTGTATGGCTTGTAAGTTCAGAGAAGAAGAAGTTGGAGTGAGGCCGTTACAAAAATGGTAGGAGAAAGAAGAGACAGAAGCCATCCAACTCCTAACACTGAGTGAGCTGTGAGATTTGTGTAAGGATTATGGCCATCATCCATGGCACAGCTGAGCACATTGCCACCTCACTGTTCCAGTGATGGGATGGTGGAGCCATTAGCCTGGACATAGTGGACAGTGAAGCCAACTAGCTGAGATCTCTTTCTAGGGAAAGTGTCAGTGACGAAGCAATTGGAAAAAGGACAAAGTCTTTCACCCTCTGGTGGTGACTCTTGTTAGCCATGCAGGAAAGATATCTCTTCAAGGGACACCTGGTATTAAACTCAGGTAAATGGACCACCACGGAGAAAGGCATTCAGCAGTTGACAGAACTAGCTCTTGCAGAGATGATGTATGGTATTAACTTGATAATAACACCAACTCCCAAGATCCAGATGGCATCAATGTGTATGCGACTTAGGTGGTGGAGAGTAACGCAGAGTGCGCCATCATTGTATACTAGCACCAAGGAAGGAATGAACTGGAAAGGCAATGAAAAACCAGTGGTGGATGAAGTGGTTAACCTACTGTGACAATATGAAGATAGTCACTCTTCCTCCCCATGGCCTGTGTCTCAGTTGTGGCAAAACTGTCCCTGGAGTACCAGCAATTCAAAGACAATACATCTTGCTCTCCACCTGTACAAATCAACGTCTCAGCTATTAGAAATAAGCGTTCCTCAGCTCAAGGGAGAGAATATCATGGGTACACATCTTGTACTATTCTATGTTTTTGACTACGTAACCATGAAAAAGATATGAGGAAGTTGGATGGAAACCCACTTTGTCCCTACAGGCATGGGTGCATGAGTTGCAGTGTAAAACAATTACACTAGAGGGTCCTTCCAGGAAAACAGCAACTCAGAATTACAGCGCGCAGTTCTCCGGACTGAGAAGTTAGTTTGATTTTTATCTCTGTGGTTGCCAATGAGCCTTCTGGTTCTCATACACAAGAGATAAGTAATAAATACAACAACCAGAACAAAAGGGGCCCTGCCTCCAGCCAGATTTATTGGACTGTGTGGATTGATGGAAAAACAGAACGGCTGGAAGGGACCTCCAGAGATCATCAAGTCCTACCCCACCGCAAAGCAGGCTCCCTACAGTAGGCTGCACAGGTAGGCATCCAGGAGAGTCCTGAATATCTCCAGAGAAGGAGAATCCACAACCTCCCTGGGCAGCCTGTTCTACTGCTCCATCACCCTCACTGTGAAGAACTTCCTTTGCATATTGGTGCAGAAATTCCTGTGCTCAAGTTTATGGCTGTTTCCCCTTGTCCTCTCCCCACAGACTGCTGAAAGGAGGTTGGTCATGTCCCTTTGACTCTCACACTTAAGACATTTATAAACATTAATAAGATCCCTCTCAGTCTTCTTTTCTCTAGGCCGAACAGACCCAGGTCACTCAGCCTTTTCACACAGGGGAGACACTCCAGGCCCTTTATCATCTTTGTGGCCCTCTGCTGGCCTCTCTGCAAGAGATCCGTATGTATTTCGTACCGGGTTGCCCAGAACTGGATACAGTACTCCAGATGAAGCCTGACCAGGGCAGTAGAGGGGAAGGATCACCTCCCTTGGCATGCTGGCCACACTCCTTTTAATGCACCCCAGGATCCCACTGGCCTTCTTGGCCACCAGGACACACTGCTGGCTCATGGCCAACCTCTTGTCAACCAGGACCTCCGTATCCTTTTCCGCAGAGCTCCTCTCCAGCAGGTCGTGTCCCAACCTGTACTGATTCTCGTGGTTATTCCTTCCCAGGTGCAAGCCTCTGTGCTCGCTTTTGTTAAACCTCATCTGGTTTCTTGTTGCCCAGCTTTCCAGTCTGTCCAGGTTTTGCTGAATGGTAGCACAGTCTTCTGCAGTGTCAGTCACTTCTCCCAAATCGTCGTAAGACACATTAATGCATTTTTTGAGCGTTGCTTTGGATACCAGATTTGAAGTTCTGGATTTCAGAACATGGAAGTTTATTGCATTTGTGCCTAATGTAGGCAGCAAGAACTAAAAATACAGTGTGCCATCTGTAATGGAACTGTATTGT